TCCCGGCTGCGGCTCCCATCCTCCACGTGGGAAGTGATGGTGGAGACACGGGAGCACACGAAGGAGCAGGCATTGCAGTGCAGCTTCCCTCCCTCCAGCCGGTACTTCTCTGAGGGTTTCCCGGGCTGGGGGGGACAAGCAGCTCCACTTGGCTCAGCCCTATTCCCTTGCTGGGGTGGCTCTTCTGCCACCTCCGTGCTGTCACCCAGCAGGGATTCCTCTGGGACAGGACAGCCCGAGGCCTGTTCCCCACCCAAAGGGCTGCCTGCTGGCTGTGTTTTCTCAGGCAGCAGTGAAGCTTCCCAGGGGCTCTCGGCATGCCCGGACTCCTCTGAGCCTGCCTCCTCTCTCTCTGCCGCTTCCGGAACGCTGTCCCCGGCCTGGTGAGCAGGGTGGCACAACGCATCTGGCTCCTGACTGGCTGGTTTGGTGATCTTGCTCTTCTTCAGGAGAACGGGACACTTCTTGAGGAGGTGAGTGTTGAGCCCCCTTTGCTGTTTAAAGCTGGCGCCGCACTCGCGGCACACAAGCGGGGCCCGGCGGCTCTGGCAGCTGGCCTTGGAGTGCAGGGACATGGACTTCTCCTTCCGCGTGACGTACGAGCACTTCTCGCACTTAAAGATCTGGCTCTCGGACTGCACCACCAGCATCTGCACCCTGCCCTCCAGCACCAGCGTCTCTGCCTGCTCCTTGTCCTGCTTCCGCAGGGCCTTCAGCACTGACTCCGAGCCGCCTCTGGCGTTGGCACCAGAGGTGGCCACATCCTCCAGGACAGGCAGGTGTCTCTGCTCGGCTGTCTTTGGCACACTGAGCCAGGCCTCCGGCAGCTCGGCTTGGCTGGTCTCCCTCACCTCAACGTCTGCCACTGGCTCGTGGTGGTCCGAGCACGACCCCTCGAGGAGGCCCGTGGCATGCCTTAGGGCATTCCCTCCCTGGCTGTCTCCTGATGCTTCCCCATCCTCCAGCCTCGTCACCTTGTCCTCCTGTGCGTCTGCCGCCTCCTCCTCAAAGTCTGGGATGTCTTCGAGTGCATGGTCATTGTCCTCCAAGCCAAGGTCCTCCTGGGAGCCCAGCATCTCGTAGGCCGCAGGAGGCTCCTTGCAGGACAGCACTTCCTCGCTCTCTGGCTGTGCTGTGCAGGACTCTCCCGTCAAATGCTCCAGGAGAGGGTCAGAGGAGACGTTCAGCACCTCCAAGTGCAACGTGCAGCTCTCTGCCATGTCCTCAGCAGCAGCGAGCTCAGTCGAGCCTACTGCAGCATCTCCTTGCACACAGTCACCTCCCAGGGCCTCGCCAGCGGAGGGAGAGCTCTGCTCCCCCTCGCCCACACCTCCCTCTGCCTCGCCGCTGCTCGGCGTGGCATCCTGCCCAAGGAGGGGCACCACGAACACTTGCTGGTAGCTCCCTTCTCCCTGGGACTCCACCTGGGACGGCTTCACCTTTGCCCACTGCTCCTTACCAGCGAGGGGGGAACTGGCATCCCCACGCAGGGCTGCGCCAAGCTCGTGACCGAAGAGCGCCTCGGACGAGCTGATCTCCAGCTCCTTGCTGGCATAGTTTTCCAGCCAGTCCTTGTCACCGGGGACATAGCCATGAACCTTACGCTTGTGGAAGAAGAGGCTGGTGTTGCTGAAGGTGCAGTAGGAGCAGAGGGCACAGCGGAACTCCTTCTGCTTGGTGTGCTTGCAGTTCTCGTGGTATCGTGTTTCAGCAGCACCTGCTTGTACTTCGTCTGGTAGGTGCAGTACTGGCACTGGAAGATGGGCACCTGGTAGTTCTGGGAGTGCTTAGACTGCATGTGCTTCTGCAGCTCGTACTTGCGCTTGCAAGCGAAGGCACACACCTCGCAGATCAGACTTTTGCCCTGGTGCCGCAGCTTGTGGCTGCTCAGCTGGTCGGCGCGGTGGCAGCGGTAGGAGCACTGGTTGCACTGGTACCTGTGAGGGAAGCAGAACTGGTCAGGAAGCACGAGGAACCGGGGCAGGCTGGGCCTTGTCAGGCATGCTGAGCTCTGCTTCCCTGTCCTGGGCACACGAGCAAGGGGATCTGGTCGGTTCTCAGACCTGACCTTTGCCATCCAGGCAGCTCTTACCACGGGCAATTCCTCCCTGCCACAGCCCTTGGCACAGCTGGTGCTCTGCACCCTCAGCCTGAGGACAGGAGGGTATCTGTGGGTATCCCACACGGTGACTGCGTCACCCCCCACACAAGTGTGTCACATCAGCTGCACCTCCAGCAGTGCTGGAGGCAGACTGGGCTCGAAGGAGGTGGTAACACAGAGGTAAAAATGTGTTTTGGCAGAGTCCTGCATGTGCACAAGCTGGCTTTGGCCCACCGACATCAGCAGAGCCCAGGAACCTGAGCTCAGAACAGCACTGACGTGGTAACAAACCTCCTCTGCCCCACAGGCACCCCGAAGATAGCTCTGCCTCTCCAGCACCGTGCTGGCAACCCTGCGAGCTCAAGGGCTTCATTTTACGTGTCAGACAGAGGAGGCTGTAGCCATACCCCAGGCCTCAGTCTGGCACAGAAGGCAGCCCAGCCCAGCAGACCCCCAGAGCAGGATGTGGGGAGCCCTGACCGCGCTGCCAGGCCGGTGGGGCTCAGGCCGTACCGGAGATCTCCAGTGTGCTTGCGCATGTGGACGTTCAGGTAGTGCTTCCACTTGGTGATGTACCCGCACTCAGTGCACATGAAGTTCTTGTCGTTGGAGTGGGTCAGCATGTGCTTGGACAGGTAGCTGACGTCCCGGCACATGAAGTCGCAGAGCTCGCACTTGTGAGGCTTCTCTCCTGTGGGCAACACAGGAACGCGCTCAGCACGACGGCCGGGGAAGCGGCACGGGCTGCCTTGCCCCACAGGGAAACCAGCTCAGCAGGAGCTGGGGGCAACAGCAGGGATGGGCGCACACCACATCAGCCAAGCCATGCTTGGGGGTGGCAGAGCCAGCGATGGGACCCAGGAGCCCTGCCCCAGCCCTTCCTGCTCACCCAGCGCTGCGACAGGACCCCTCCCCATCCCGGCTCGGGACCCCCGCGGCGGATACCCACCGGTGTGCAAGAGCATGTGCCGGATGAGCACCCTCTTGTGCGCGGTGGCGAAGGCACACTCGGTGCACTTGTGGATCTTCTCGTTGGCGTGCATCTTGCCCACGTGGTCGTGGAACTCCACGGGGTTGAAGGTGGCGTAGGGGCAGAAGCTGCACTGGAGCTGCTCGCTGCCTGGGTGCCCCTGCTTCTTGTGCTTGCGGAACACGTGCTTGTTGGAGCAGATGAAGTCGCACTGCTGGCAGTGGAAGGCGTAGTGGGTTTTTCGGTGGGCCTCCATGGCCTCGGCCGTACCAAAGAGCAGTGAGCAGGCATAGTACTTGCACTCCACCGCTTTGATGCCGTGAACATCCTTGAGGTGACGGACAAACTCCTTCCGGTCCTCCGCGCAGTAGTCACAGCCCCCCTGGAAGCAGCTCAGCCTTTTGGGCTCGGCTTTGTGAGTCTTCAAGTGCTCTTTGAGGGCCTGGCTGAGCTGAAACTTCTCCCCGCAGACAGGGCAGGAGTAAACGTCAGAGTAGAAGTTGGAGATGTCCTCGTGCATGCTGGCCATGTGGCGGTTGAGGGCGTTCTTCTCCACAGAGCTGTAGTGGCAGAGCGGGCAGCGGTGGGTCTTCTCGCCCGTCTCCCGCATCATGTGGATTTTCAGCTTGCTTTTGCTGGTGAAGTACTTGTAGCAGTTGGGGCACTGCAGGCTGGGGTCGGGGAAGTGCAGGTGAAGGTGCTCCACCAGATGTGCCCGTTTCTTGAAGCACCGCTTGCACTCGGGGCACATGTGGGTTTTGTACAGGTACTCGGAGCCCTCTGCAACGTCCCCTGTGGGAGCAGAGCAGGGGGGAGCCGTCAGCAGGGAAGAGATGGAGAGCACGGGCAGATGTTCTCTCCTCAATCCAGCTGTGCTGGGGTAAGGGCTTACCACATGCATGGTCACACAGCAGCCATCTACTTGGAGGGGCAGTCCCCACCCCAGGCCACCAGCATGGTTCAGGTTGGCTCTTTCAAGCCAGATGTGGGGCTGCTGAATGGCACAGGACCCCAGGTCCCACCACTCCAGCCCACGTTTCATTGCCAGTCTCAAGGATGTGCTGCTTGTTCACAAGTAAAAAGCCTGAGCAGCTCCCGGAACAGCCCCACGGTGCCCCACATCCTACCTTTGAATTGCTGTGCTTGCAGCACCTTGGCTTTCTTGGGAGCCGCCTTCCCATCCTCTTTGGCCTCGCCTTCGCAGGGGCTCTCACC